ATGATTTTTAGGGTTTGGGGGTGAAATTTGTATATATAATATTTAAATATCAAATATATGATTTTTGAACAAATAATATTTAATTAAATATAAAAAATCTATATATAAAATATCTGATTTTTGAAAATAAAAATTGACATCTGATTTTTGAACTTGAATTTTGAAAAGTAGGGATTCCTGTGATTTCCACAAAATATGATATCTAATATTTGATATGTAATCTTCAAACTTCTGGGCCAATGTAATTTTCACTAGGAAAAATTAGGCCAAATATCCTAAAAAATTAACTAATTTGATAAATACCCTACTTATTAATTAAATCACTGAACAACGTAATTTATACGTTAAAACCTCCCCCAAACCTCCAAACCCCGTCTTTCACAATTCAAATCGGGTCTGCTACAACGAAGAGGAATCACTTCACGGAACTGGAAATACTGTTGAATCGGCGACGGTGGCGACTTCCGACAATAATTCTGATGGGTACGAGACTGCCAGTGAAACCGAGCTAAATGATTTCGATCGAGAACCGGAAAAGAACAACAATATTGTCAGAAATGATATTAATAGTTATGGTGATGTAAGGTGTGACGTTAAGGAAGAAGAAGAACGGAAGGAGTAGAAAGATCCGCACAGAAACTCTTCGAATTTTCTGAACCACTATTCTTGCTAATCTCTGATATTGTAAATTTTCTTGGAAAGAAATGATGGAAACCCACCACCTCTTCCTCTATTGCCACAGCTTTCGTCGAATTGCAGAAATGGAAATTGAAAAGCCAAATCCCCCATGTTTTCTCCCCAACACATGCACAACCACTGCGAGAATGTGATTACAATTTATTGGACAAGGAGGTTGGAATTGATTGGAAAATTCTAAGGGCATTTCCCTTCTTATTCTTTGGGACTCCTAATTGGACAAGAAGGTTGGAATTGACTGGAAAATTGAAGACGATTAGACTTTGAATTGGACTACGGCTTCAAGAAATAAAGAGAAGAATATATATATAATTGGAAAGCAATAATTCATCAGTAATTTGTGCAAGAATTTTGGAATTAATCACTTTCTATCAATTTTGGGATCCCAATATATGCAAGTATATATGCGCGTGTTGTGCAAAATAACCATATTGTACAAGGTATTCTGCTATGTCTTGACCGGATAAATAATAACTCAATTGTGTTACGTCGACATGAAAATTGTCAACTTGTTACTTTTTTTAGTATTCGTCACTTTTTTTTATT